GCGCCAATCGGAATTAGAAAGGGCATCCTGCAAAGTCTTGGGAATAACAGTAGCAGATAATGTGGATAAAAAACAGGATAAAGAGGGTGAAACATGATTATATGAGACAAAATTAGAAATAGGATGTGCAGTAACACAAGAACGAATACCTTTACGCAGGGCAATAGGAAGATCATCAGCAGGAGGAGGAACCTCAATAGAAGTAGACAATTGGGGCAGGGTTGCCTGTGATCGTTGACTATACACTTGTAGTGGTTGTGGTGTGACAGACTCTAATGAAGTAGACACAACAGGTAACGAAAGCAACAAATCAGTATTTAAAGATGAACCACAGGCAGAGAAATAAGGAGTGTCCTCAAAAAAGGTAACATCCATACACACAAAAGCACGACGAGTGTTAGGATCCCAACATTTATAACCTTTTTGAGTTCAAGAGTACCCAATAAAGACACACTTAATGGCACGAGGAGACAATTTATCAGTGCCAGGATGTAATATGTGAGCAAAGCACACACACCCAAAAACACGAGGAGTAAATGCAAATAACGGTCGAGTAGGAAAAACAAAAGAATAAGGGCATTTCCAGTTAAGAACAGAAGATGGAATACGTTTAATTAAATAACAAGCAGTTAAAACAACATCGCCCCAAAATGGCTTTGGAAGATGCATATGGATCATTAAAGTCCGAGCTATTTCAATAAAATGCCTATTTTTCCATTCTGCTACGCCATTTTGTTGAGGAGTATAAGAACAAGAAGTTTGGTGCAAAATACCACGAGAGTCACAAAATGTAGAAATAGCACCTTTGACATATTCCATAGCATTATCAGATTGTAAAATTTTTATAACATAGCTAAACTAGACTTCAATTTCTTTAAGAAATAATTGAAATATGGAAAAAAGTTCAGACCGGTCTTTCATTAAAAACAGCCAAGTCATCCTTGAATAGTCATCAACAAAGGTAACAAAATATGAGAAACCTGAATTACTGACATGACGCACAGGACCCCAAATGTCAGTATGTACCAATTCAAATAAAAAAAACCGACGATTATCAATACGAAGAGGAAAAGACACTCTATGGTGCTTACCAAATTGACACGACTCACAGTCTAAAGAAGACATTGACCCAAGAGAAGGAATGGCAGACTTCAAGTACCTTAAGGATGGATGACCCAGCCGATAATGCCACTGTTGGGCATTGGCAGAGACCCGTGAATGGAGAGCAGTACCACTAGTAGGTGACTCACAATCCAAGTAATATATACCATTTTTCGCAAGGCCACCACCAATTGTCAACTTCGTTTTGAGATCCTGAAAGACATAAAATGAGGGATAAAAGGTTACAGAACAGTTGAGTGCCTGAGTGAGCTTGCTCACTGATAATAAATTGAAAGGAAACTCAAGAACCAATTGCACAGAAGATAACAAAATGGAAGAAGTGAGGTGAATGGTACCTTGTCCAGTAATGGGACGAGTCCTACCATCAGTAAGAGTAAACTTGTGACAATCAAAAAAACGAACTGAAGCTAAAAATAAAAAATAAAAACTAGCTGACCTGCGAAGAAACAGAGAAAAAAAACGGAGTTGAAACAGGTCTACTGGATCCAGAAATGGGTCGGCAAAACCGGGTTGAACCAGAACCGGATCTCTACAAACTTGGTTTTAGTAAATGAAGGTTGGGATAACTTCACGCTTGTAGCCAAACACCACACTTCTTCACAATCAGTGTCAGCGAGAACCAGAATCTACTGCCGACAATAAGCAAACAAGGATCCGAGGTCCAGAATGGAGAATCGAGACCTCCACAAGGTGAAGCCCCAACCACAAATCCATTAATAGCCAAGGGACGACGGTGAAGCCGCTGCAACTCTCTCAGCTATAGCAAAGAACCACACTCAGTTTCAAACGAAGCCACCGACCACAAAATTAGTTACAATGGCGACTACACATGGCAACCACCGGCGTCAGCAAACGGAGAGATCTTCGGTGGGCTACACAGCATAGTCGATCTCTGTAAACTTCGGATTTGCACACTGCAAACTCCTCGCCGACAGTCCTGAAATGGTCGTCGATGAAGAGACAAAAAAAAAAAAAAAACCGTCCAAGAATGGCCGGATCGACGACGCACGGCAATCTCTTCACGAGCTAAATACACACCCTAGCACCACGGTAGCAACGTCAATGGCCGGATCGATGCTCTGATACCATGTGCAAGTTTACTGTGTGATGAGAGAGAGAGAATAGATGCAGGCGCAATAATACTTCTTCTCATTATCATTAACCATAAACATAAAAGGGTTTATTTGCATAATGGCCACAAACTCTATATACAATTACAATCTGACCCCACCATAAATATATATATATATATATATATAAATGTTCCAACAGTTCTCACAGCAATATACCTTTTAAATAGAATGCCATCTCGGGTTCTTAAAGGGAAATCACCTTTTAAAATGTTCTTCCCTGATAAAGATCCTTTTTGTCTCCCTCCAAGGGTATTTGGATGTATTTGCTTTGTCCATAATTTAAATCCTAAACATGATAAACTTGACCGTCGTGCACACAAATGTATATTCCTTGGTTATCCTTGTACTCAAAAAAGGTACCGATGCTATAGTCCTACATTAAGAAAACATTTTGTTTGTGCTGATATGACTTTCTTTGAAAATGTTCCCTATTACTCTACGGAGGGTTGTCCACTACGAGAGCCTCTACTCCAAGAGTCTATTCGGCTCCTACCTATTCTTTCCGTCCCTTCATATCCTAATAGGCTCGTCCCTTCCTATCCTAAGGTCTATGTTCGTAAACGTCCGCGGTCTTCTCATTGCCCATCTGAACCAATTACAGCACCAGGAGCACCATCCTCAAATCCTCCATTGCTATCCTCAACGCCTGCGGATCCTACTCCTCCATTTAGTCCCGACATTCCCATTGTCAGTCGTAAAGGTAAAAGGTCTTGTACTAAGCACTCTATCTCTAATTTTTGTATCTTATGATCATTTATCTCCTTCATTTAAGGCTTTCACAATATCCTTATCTTCTGTCTCTATTCCTAAGACATGTAAGAAGGCCCTTTCTCATCCTGGTTGGCGAAAAGCAATGGAGGATGAAATGCATGCTTTGCACTTGAATAATACTTGGACGCTTGTTCCTAAGCCTGCAGGTGCACACATTGTTGGTTGCCAATCGATTTTCACAGTGAAGCAAAATCTAGATGGTACTGTCGACAGGTTAAAGGCTCGTCTTATTGCTAAGGGCTTTACTTAAACCTATGGTCTTGATTACACTGAAACTTTTCTCCTCTGGCCAAGCTAAATTCAGTTCGTATTATTATCTCCCTTGCTGCAAATCTTGATTGGCCCCTTCATCAACTAATGTTAAGAATGCCTTCTTGCATGGAGATTTGAGTGAGACGGTGTACATGGCTCAACCACCTTGGGTTTGAGTCCAAGGGGGAGTGTGTTTGTCATCTCCAGAAATCTATTTATGGGACTCAAACAGTCTCCTCGAGCATGGTTTGACAAATTCAGCAAAGTTGTGGTTACTTATGGAATGCTTAGAAGTCAGGTTGATCACTCGGTGATCTTAAAGAAGACAAAGCATGGTATTGTGATATTGGTCGTCTACGTGGATGACATTGTGATTACTGGAAGTGATAGTAAGGGCATTCAAACTTTGATTGGTCATCTTGGTTCAAACTTTCTTACTAAAGATTTGGGCAAGCTTCATTATTTTCTTGGTATTGTGGTTGCGAGATCAAAGAAATCCATTTATTTGTCTCAACGAAAATATGTTCTTGATATTTTGAGAGATATAGGTCATCTTGGAGCTAAATCTGTTGCTACACCTATGGAGGCTAATCAGAAATTGATGTTTGATGTTGGTGACTTAGTTGATGATCCTGAGATGTACAGAAGACTAGTAGGTAAGCTGATTTACCTATCACTCGACCAATTATTTCACATGCTGTCAGTGTGGTAAGTCAATTCATGACCAACCCACGGGTCCCTCACATGAATGCAGTTGTACACATTCTAAAGTACCTCAAAGGTGTTCTAGGTCGTGGTCTTCTTTACCAATCTTCAGGACATCTTCGCATTGAAGGGTATACTGATGCAGACTGGGCAGGTTCTCCCTCAGATAGAAGATCAACTACGGGTTATTGTACTTTTATTGGGGGTAATCTTGTGACTTGGAGAAGTAAGAAGCAATCAATTGTTGCTCGATCAAGTGCTGAGGCTGAATACCATGCAATGGCTCACACAACTTGTGAGCTAACTTGGTTGAAAAGCCTTCTACAAGAGTTCGGAATCTCAGTGCAAGATCCAACTCCTCTCTACTGTGATAAGCAGGCCCCCATTCCTATTGCTAGCAATCCAGTTTTTTCATGAACGGACAAAACACATTGAAGTGGGTTGTCATTTCATTCGTTTTAAGGTGGCTTCAAATGAGATTGTGACTCCTTTTGTGCCCTCTTGCAATCAGCTAGCTGAAATCTTCACTAAAGCTCTTCCAAAGAATGCATTCAACTCTATTTGCAGCAAGCTGGGAGTTGTTGATATCTACTCTCCAGCTTGAGGGGGAGTGTCGTGAATATAGGCTGTTTACAGCCTGTAAAAATTAGGAAAGTTGACTATTCTGCTACATGTAATCTGCTAGCTTGATTATAGGAATATTCTGATGCATGTAATCTGCTAGCTTGATTATAGGAATATTCTGATCCATAAAATCTGCTAGCTTGATTATAGGATTTTGATTAGCTTAATTTCTGGTAATTGGTTAAATTAATGTACTGATTGTATGTCTTGGGTTCCTGTATAAACCCACATTTACTCACATCTAAGAGATATACAAGAATTCTTCTCTTCTATTTTCTTGCTCTTATTTACAACAGAGGTAAAGGGCAAGATGTAAATAACAGCAACATACAATGCACAAAAAACAGCAATATATAACTATTAGGTTTGATGGTAAAGTTGGCACCATCTTACCTGTTGTTTTGCAATAGCATCATCAAGTTGTTGGAGTTCAGTGCGATTACGAGTGTTAGTTTCCTCAAGCTCAAATAAAGCCTTCTGTAAGTTTATCCGTTCCTGAACATTTTCACTGGTTTCTTGGCTCAATACATTCAAACCAGATAGTTCATTATCCACTGCATTTTCAGCAGGCTTGGCACTTAATTGTGATTCCTTTTCAGCTAATTCTTTTTTCAACTGGAAAACCTCTACCTGTGTAAACATATAATTTTATAAGGTCCTACACACAAAGGATAACTACCAGAAATAACACATGATAATCTATTAAACCGCTTACCTGAAGACTGTCAATCATACGTTGGTAGTCGGATACATGGATATCGATTGTGCCAATATTTTTCTGTCAAGGTATAAAAAAATTCTCAACATAAATGTCCGACAATCAATGATCAAGGCAAACAATGATAGAATTGGAGCGTCCAAGCTACCTATCACCTACAAAGTTACAATCATATAGAAGTGTAGCAATGCCATATACACATATATTGGCTGAACAGCAGAGATAAATAATTTCAACAGAAAAATCCAATTATAATTTTGTACCAACCAGACATGCACCAGATAAAACTACCTTCATCTGAAATTTTACGTTTCTCTAAGAAGAATCCTAATTCAGCTACATAAAGTCATTAACCTATACTGCACCAATACATGCACAATTTTAGAGTAGTAAATTCAATTTCATATCTTTGATATATATCATAAACAAAGATACATTCATATATATGTGTGTGTATATTATTTTCACCTGGATGTGTGTCTTGATTTCCTTTGCACGGTCAGCATATTTCAAGGTATTAACAGTGTGGTGATACTGATTATCCGCAGGTGATATTGTAGCAATCATAACTGTTTGAGAATTACCACTCAGACCATCTTTAAGAATTCGTGTCAATTTGCTGCAAAAATCTTGATATTAGTCACATTATCGAGGAGGGACCCTTGCTACATTATTACCATTCAGATACCTATTGCGGTAAGGGACATAAGCTAGACCCTTCTTCTGCTGTTTTCCCAGAGCATTTATGCAGTTTGCCAATGCAAGAAGTGAACGATTAATATTGGCACCATCTCTTAGCTTTTGGCCTCCACTATTTGTTTCAGAAGCTCGTTCACTGCACCATAACTTGTTTAAGATAACGATTCTGTATCTTTTACCTACAGAAAGATTTGACTCTAAAGTGACAAGAAGTACTATTTAGGAATGCCCTACCTGCCAGCAAGATCTACAAGTGCAAGTTTTCCTTTGGTAATTTGATTCCGGTATTTACTTCTCTGTTTTCTTGTCACAGTGATCTCCAAAACCGCATGAGAACTGTTCACAAGAAACTAAAACTGAATCAGATTGGACAGAAAGGTCTCCTTGTGCATAAAAATGGATGCTGGAGCGTGAGACAACTCTCTCCATAGAACTCGGCAAAATAATCCAATCACTTCCGAAGAAGCAGTGCCCCCGCCGCCCCAACGCCCCCCCCCCCCCCCCCCCCCCCCCCCAAAGGGAGTTGTAGAGACCTGGTCTGGCCAACCATTTACCATGTTGATGATGATGAAATTGTGTCTCAAATTCCTATTCTAATTAGGTTTCTATTTTCGAGTTGTATTCTGTAAGGAAATTTCTTGTTAAGCAAGTAATCCTCGTCCAACAAGGAATTGGATTTGGAACTCTATAAATAGATACCTAAGTTTTGGGTTGAGACTCGTGAGATTGAGAGATATGTAGTCTCATGAGGGAGTTGATGGGTAGAGGTAGTATGTGGGTTGGTAGAGTAGGAAAAATACCAGTGGCATTGGTAATGAGGAGATAGGCTCGTGGAGTGGTATATGGTAAAAAGACATGCACATGGTGTTGGTACTCTATTATTGTAATATCTCTACAAATCATCGTGGAATCTCTTCTCAACCATGGACGTAGCCCTGAGTTTGGGTGAACCATGTATATGTTGTGTTTGTGTGTGATTGTTTTGCTGGCTTTCCTTGGATCTTGTATCGTGCGCTTCCATTGCCCCCAACAAATTTATATAATGAAATGAGAAAAAATCAATGCCCAAAACAAATGAGAAAAGTTTTAAAATTTTGAACATCCAAGCATGATGCATCTTCATACAACACATTTGGCAGGTTGTCATCCTCTTTGTGAACTTGTATGGATATGAAGGGCAATGAACCGGGAGGATAAACAGGCAGTTAGGGAAATAAGAAGTTGAATTGTTAGCAGAACTGTAAAAGTAGTAGCCTATTAGACCTCAATTTAAGATAGTGCTTGGATTAAAATTCATAACATTTGCTAGAGAGTTGAAGAGACACTACTCTGTTAGAAGTACTGGAAATAATCAATTGTTACTCACCGTGAGGATGTTTCATTAACTTCTGTGCTTTCTGTTTTTCGTCTGCTGTTCCCCAAATTTAAAAGTTCAAGAATCTTATCAGCTGAGCGAACCTGTATACCAGTATAAAAGTAGTCAGGAATTCACAAGTTTCACAATCATAACCTAAAATTGACAATTCCAAAACTAGAATGGACATCAACAAATAAAAGAAGAAGAGAGAAACTATCTTTGAAACAAACAACAACAGTACGCCAAAGAAAGTATCATAATTCTCAAACGAGTCATGGCAGTCAAACCACGTGCAGTTTCCAAGTGAAGTATGTGGTACAATTGAAGATAAAAAATGAGAACCAGCAATTTGAGTTGGAACACGCTACTTGCTAGTTGAGAAGCTGGTTTGGCAATTTGCAATTATTAGAATGTCCCCTTATACAATAGGGCCAGAATGCATGTGAATTGTCTAAGATAATTCATCAAAACTAAAACCACCCAAAGTATGGGGAATGTAAGAACAACAAATGGAAATGATACAGTCCATTTTGGTTTCTGCAGTATTTGAAGACCAAAACACATTTTCTATGGCGAAGATGTTAAGAAAATGGAGCCCATGCCTTAATACACGAATGGGCCCCCCTTCTTCCCCGCCCAGGAAAAAGAAAAAAATATGTATGCGCAAGACTGAGAGAAACTTTGTCATATCCTTATAAGCCTTTAATAAGAAGAGTAAATACAAACAAATAATTTAAATCATTGCTGCCAAAGAGAACAAAATGGACTCAATTAAATGTTATATAACAGGAATTGATCTTTGAATGTCCATGAGTCATTCAAAAGCCCCATAATTTAATATATAAAATATATATCATAAAAATCTCCTTTTTTTGTCTTTTCTTTTTTCAAAAAAGAAAAAAAGAAAAAGTAAAAGGAAAGGTGGCTACTTCTTTTTAGCTTGTGCTAGTTGCATATTAATTTGTAAAAATAACTAAAAGATGATTTCTAGTTACCTAAATAAGGTCAGAACCACTAATACTTTACTACTCTTAGTCATAATATCTGTTATCTTTAGAGAGAGGTACTTTGAGATGTACATTTATACTTAGCAACTGCTATATGTGAATTGAATTGGTGTGGTTGCTTGAGAAATTAATGTGTCAATAAGATTCGGCTAAAAACTGATGTGCGTGCCTGGTATACAAAAACTTGCGCAACTCGAATGCAAAAATCTATCAAATCGATATGTTTTTTCTTTCAGTCTCTTCATACACATACCCCAACTCATGGGACTTTAGAATGTTAGTGCACATAAACTCACCCAAACAATGTGAAGGGATAAAATCAAGATGAACTTTGTGAAAAGGTTAACAAGTCATAGATAATACATCCAGACTTCCATAGAGATTTTGAATGCTTGCACATTTCATGTCATGCAACTCTTGCATAATTATATGAAACACAGTGGCTCCAACTGATATTGGGAAGAGGATGAACCTTAATGCATTTAAGCCCAGCAACAATTATTCCTTTCTCTGGATCCTCTCTAAGGTCCAAATGACCAGACGATTTTTCAAGCAAATCATAAATAACCTGCAATTATACAAGAATCAAATATTAACTTTTTCCAAAGAACACAAACACTCAAAATTACTGAAAGACAAACTTTATAATCAATATTAACCACCTACTTCATTGTAGACTTCAAGGTACGAACAAGTAACTTCAAACTCATTAGAGCATTTGTCCTTTTTGATAAGATCAAAAATCATATGCAAGCTGAGAACCATAAGTCCAGGATCATCTTTAGTCCCAACCATTGTATATGTTTTACCACTGCAAATGTAGAATATGAATCAGATTCTACTGAAGCAAAGCTCAACAAAAGGGAAGTGAAAATCACACAAAGGACTATATTGTCAGCAAACAACATGCACCATGGAATATTCTCTTGGATATCATTCACTATTTCATCTAGAACTACTGGAAGAAATATGGACTTAAAACTGAGCATTGGTGTAATCCTACTTGATAGAAAAATCACTAGTCACTCTGCCTGAATTAGATTTAAAAGTTTTATAGGGACTTGCTTTCTTTGTAGAGCCCACTAAATTTCGTCCCTTGGTACTCTATCATATGCCTTCTCTAAGGCTATGAAAACCATATGTAGATCCTTTTGTTTACTTCTACATTAATCTTTTTACTGGAGTTTTAATGGAGGAATCAGTCAGTAATTGATAATGTTTCCTATTATTGAAGATTTGGTGTTACTAGAGGAATTAGTGGAGAAAAATCATCCTTGTTTCCTATTTTATAATTCTTTCCATTCTTATAATTTCTTCTCCAATATAAAGGAGCCTCCACCATTGTATTGTGCATGAATTGAGAGAGTATTATAAAAGTGATGTAGCCTTTTGGGCTCTTTGTGCCGTGGATGTAGGCCTCATAGTGGATTTACTGGCATAAATCCAAACTGATTACCTATTTTTCTTTATCTTTGTTCGATTATCCTTTCCCATGATTTCAGTGTATGACTCACTAATTTAATACCTCTATAATTTTCACAATTTTGTATATCTACCTTTTATGTTTATAAATCGGTAGTATGGTACTCCACTTCCACTCATTTGGCATTTTTTCTTCCAATAGAAATTTGTTAAATAACTACTCAAATTCCTATACTTCCTATAATTCTCCATACCTAGTTGTCCCGTCTCTTTGCTCTATTGTTACCATTTCTAAAGTGCTTCCCTACTTCTTTAGTAGCACTTTTGTTTGTCATTCCTTTGTAAAGTTCGTTACTCATAAGTTCTTCTCTAGTGTATTCTTCATTCAGTAGTTTTTAAAAGTTCTCCATCTCTCTAATATGTCAATATCTTTAACTAGTATTGTTTGATCGATATCCTTAATACACCTAACTTGATCTATATGTCTAGTTAACCTTTCTCTTTTTTTGCTAACTAGTAAATAGACTTTTCACCGTCATTTACTCCAAAATTTTCATATAGCTTGTTTAATGCATTTTGTTTAACTTTAGTTATCATCTTTTTAGCATCGCTTTTTAGTTTTTTGTATTTCTCTACATCATCTTGTTTTCTTTTAACTTTTTCCATTCTTTAAAACTCGTTCTTTTATTTGTTATAGTTTGTTGTATTATGTTCCAAGTTTATTTGATCAAATTATTCCAATGTTCAAAATTCCTACTAAAATTAAATTACTAAAAGCTAATTCAAAGAAGAGAACTAAAATATATTTTACTATTGGTTTGAGATTTAATGAATCTAACTACATTTAAAGAAGAAATACAAGAGATATATGTAAAGGTTTGAACAAGAATAATCACTCATTCATAGCTCTGATATTTATACACTAAAAGAGCACATGTTAATATTACAAGAATGGAAACCAAATAGAATCCCTGCAGATAGAGAAGGGTCCGAATAGTTGTATCAAGGTGAGGGGTGCGAGGAGAGTGCATGAATTAACTCAGACACTCATGGCATAAGCAATGTCAGGTTGAGTCATGGATATATAAATGAGCTTCCCAACAGTCGCTAGTACTGACCAACATCCGACAATAACCCCCCCCCTCCTCCATCAACCAACTGATTATTCTGCTCAAATATAGCATCAACTGGACGAGCACCAAGCTGACTAGAAACAGAAAGCAAGTGAAGAACATACTTGTGCCAAGAGGTGAAAATGACAGCCTTGGAGCGATCCACTTCAATGCCCAAGAAATACCGTGGGGGACCAAAATCCTCAATCTCAAGCCGGCGACCAAGATGGCTCCTAACCTCAACAATGGTAAGAACAATATCATTCACATACACAATGAGAGCAATTGTCTTACCGCCTGAATGGTATAAGAACAATTTATGATCAACTGCACTCTAATAGAAACAAAATTGGAGCATTTGGCACTTAAACCAAGCATAAGGGGACTGCTTGAGGCCATACAGGGAGCAATGAAGATGACAAACCACTAGGAATGAGTAAGAGAGCAAAAGCCTGAAGGGGAACAATATACACTTTCTCATGCAAGTCACCATTGAGAAAGGCATCCTTGACATCTAACAAAATACAGGCCAAGAACAAATCATAGCAATGAAAAATAATACGTGCATGGTGTTCATCTTGGCAACAAAGGCAAAAGTCTGCTGACAATCTATGCCATTGGTTTAAGCATAACCCTTGGAAACCAATCGGGCCTTATAGTGAGCAATTGGCCTGTCTGTATTATGCTTAACTGCAAGCCCACAACCTTTCGTCCAACAGGAAGCTAAACCATGTCCTAAGTGTGACTTTTCTTAAAGTGCCGATAGGAGGGTCAGAGAGCACAATCATGAACATAATTTAAAATAGGGTAAGTACAAGAACGTTTACCCTTCTGAAGAGCAATATCGTTATCAGCCTTGCCTTAATCCCATATGAATTGGGTTGACCACTAGTCTTCCTCATTTGAATGGCACACCACTAGTTCTCTGATGTGTATGGCCAAACCATCTATGTCCACTCTCTCGAATTTTCTCACCAATGGATGCTACACCTATCTCTTCTAGTCACTCCCCACTCATCCATCTTTAACATTCTCATTTCCACTACATGAAGGCATTGTTCCTTGTTTCATTTTTGGGCCCAACACTTTGCTCCATACAACATAGTTGGTCTAATGATGCTCCTATAGAATTTTCCTTTCAGCCTATGTGTTAATTCTTTTATCACATAAAATCCCACTAGCTTGCCTCCATTTTGTCTGATCCATTCCAATTCTACTAGTTACATCACTATCCATCTCTCTATCCATTTGTATAATCAATCTTAGATACCGAAAGTGGTTGTTTTGAGTAATCGTTTGGTTTTGAATTGCTATTATTAAATTGATAATATCTGAATCTTTACTAAATTTGTACTCTATATTCTCAATAAGTGGAATAAGAGCTTGAGTAGGCAGAGCTGGTGACATGGCGGTCAATCATGGGAGTAGAAGCTTGAACCTGTTGTCTGTGACTGAGACCGGTGAAAAAGGAACAATTCCCTTGTTGGAGGGGTATCACGAGGAGGAATAATAGAAGAGGAAACAGGAAAAAGTAGAGGAGTTGAAGATGGATGGAGGTGATCATCAATAGTGTTCAACGGGAGCCACTCACTTTGAGAACCAAATGAACCACTATAGTATGGTGTATGCTCAAAGAAACAGACATCCATGGATATAATCTGCCAACAACTGAGAGGATGGTAACACCTATTACCTTTCTGAGATTGAGAATAACCCCAAAACACACACTTCAATGCCTTGGGTCAAGCTTAATTTGTACGAGTTTGCCCTAACTGCTGAACAAAGCGCACACACACCCCCAAAGACCCTCAAGGGAATTAACAAAAAAAAAAGAAAGAAGAGAGATTGATTAGGATATAAGATTGAGGGGCTGCAAAGTTAAGAACCCTAGAAGGGTCCTATTAAAGACGTATAGTTGTAAGTACAGTATCTCCCCAAAACAACTGGAAAACATTCATGCCAATACGCTAAGTCAGGGATGTGGCGATTCTTCCTCTCAGAATGACCATTCTATTAACGGGTTTAAACCTATGCTACATAGACTTTTCAAAAGTAGTGATGTACCCATGTTGGACACATATTGCTCGGACATGGGTATGGGACATGTGTCCGACACTTTTGGTTGGACATGTATTTAAAAACATATCCAATCATTCAATTTTGTTATATTATTACTTTAAAATGAGTTAAGTGCCTATATTGAACACTATGTTATATAAAAACATTACTTTACTCTAGAAAATAAAATAAAATAATTAAATAAAATGAATATGTTAGCATATATGATAACCACGATTTATGGAATGACTTACCATATTAGCAGAGATTTGATTTTGCTATGTCATATGTTGTGATTTGATTTTGCTATGTCATATGTTGTGATTTGATTTAGTTTCCTTTCTTGTAATATGAAAATGTGCTCTTTATATCTATAAATACTAGAGCCATGAATGAGTGATTTATCTCATTCAAGCCTTTACATATTATTAAATCTCATTCAAGCCTTTACACAATTCTCTCATTTTTCTTCTTTTTATATTTCTATTTGGTATCAGAGCCAGGATGGTCCGACTGAAATGAGGGCATTGCAAATTTAGCACCACCCATTCGGGAATGGTCTAAGGTGACTGTTAGCATTTATGATACCACGATTTATGGTATAACTTACCATAATAGCCGAGATATGATAGGCCCAAATCATGGGACGTGATTTACCATATTATCTGTGAGATATGATAGCCACTAATCATGTATTTGACTTTATTTACGTATATGTCTAGGCATAGAATATGCAATGATTTGATTTTGTTTCCTTTCTTGTAATACGAGCATGTGCTCATTTTATCTATAAATACTAGAGCTGTGAATGGGAAATTCATCTCATTCAAACCTTTACGCAATTCTCTCTTTTCTCTTCTTTTTATATTTCTACTTGGTATCAGAGCCAACACCTTTCCATACCTTTCAGCAGCCTTGCTACTTGTGCGACAGCTACCTTAGGCTGTTTGTGACATCGTGTGACGTTGCCTACACATGTTTTTCTGTGCTGCTGTTTTGTGATCGAAAATAGGTATTTTTAAGTTTTACAATTTCTTTTTCACTCTTCTAGGGTTGGGTAAATTGGGATAGTTGGTTTCCAACACCTAGAAGGGCTTGGGTAAAAAAAATTAGTTTACAAAGAGGTTCCGAATATTAAGAAGGAGGCTGTCTGGCTATATGTAAGCGGGCAGCGCTCCTTAAAAAAGGAATGTATTTGGATTTTTTGGGAATGGTCTGA